GTAAGCATCACAGTTCCCTCCTTGTAGTGAAAATAGTGTGCACTAAATGACTAGCAGAGGAAACCACTCAGAGAAATGCTTATATTAAAAGTGTAGAGCCTCAGCAGGACCACAGTAATCAATTACTCTAAAGTGAAGCCCTGGCAGCTTCTATGAATTGCTATTGATTTCAACTACTAGTCAGTGATTCTTTCTAGGACTAGGCTGAAATGTAGGTGTGAGATGCAGACAAAATTAGGAGCCCGAACAAACCTCTGTGGAAAACACAGGGAACAGCCAGGTTTGGTAAGATATATTATGCTGAAGATGATTTTTTGAAAGTGCTTAAAATTGCAAAAATGAAGTCCCACGCAGGGATAAAAATGAAGTGTCAGATCACCATATATTGAAATAAGAAATATGAGAATTTTGGTGTTCTTGTGCAGTTACTATGGAAAATTTTGTCTGGCTTTCTAAAGAAAGCCTCTCTCCTCCTCCATTGAAGTTGAATAAGGGGGAGGAAGGAGCAGGTAATTGTTTTTTTCTGTAGCCTTCTTCTAACCATAAAAATTATTTCCTCCTTGCAGTGAACCTACAAGTTGTATAAAAATGATTCCAAAATAATGATACACGATTGAGTCCTATATATAGCTTATGAGCTGATTCTGTATATAATTTAGTTTCTTGTAGAATTCCTTGATGGTTTCAGGAAGACAAAGCAGCTATTTCTTTATGCATACCATTCACTTCAAAGGGAATTTAATCTGTTTTGAGGAGACTGCTATGTTTCCATTACTGTACAAGGAAACTTATTCTGGGACCTTTTTTTCCTCCGCAGGAACCCTATGTATTTTCCACATTCTCATTATACATGTTTTGGCAGGAGCATAAAGCAGGCATACTCATTTATATTCTAGCTGATCAAGAGGAGAAGTCTGATTAGTATGAATTTTGGATCAAGGTGAGGGTCAACTTTGTAACCTGCAATAAAAGGAACTTTAAGGAGCGACTTCTCCCAGAGGGGGATATTTCTGTTGGATCAATGGCCCAGAGGCAGTGGAACAAATTTTCTTCCTCCTGTTATCCTCATTTTGCTATCAGCTGCACAACAGCAGCACAAAATACTGTATTAGAACTAAATACACCATATAACTGAATCGTGTGCTCATCTCACACCCCTCACACTGCACATCATTGCAGGTTGTTAATCATGCCTTTCCTTATGCTCTTTCCTCCTTCCTCTCCCACTGTTTTTCTTCCCTCCCTCCCTTCCCTCAGATCTT